GCTCCAGCAGAGAAGACTTTTCCTTTCACTCCTTACTCCGCAAGGCCTGGCTGTCGAGAACTGGGGAGCGTAAGACGATGATCTGCCTTAGCATTGCGGAGAGCTGCTCTGTATAGCAGACCTCGGCAGACAACAAGCAATTCTATTTTGCAGATAATTTTAATCATTAGCAAAACTTTCAAGCTTTAACCAATATAATATCATTGTGTAAGAATTACTGCTCTTTTATTTAGGGCTGTTTGAGAGCATATTTCTGGTATTTATGATAATCAGGAGATTGGGTTTCATTCCCACTACAGGTCTGATTTATGTTGGGACCTTAGACAAGTCACATAATTGATTTGTGCCTCAGTTAACTGGGAATAATGTTTCATGGTTTCTACCTCAAAAGTGTGAAGAAAAGTAAAATAATGTTTCTGAATTGTTTTATGTTCCTGGAAGAGAGCATTATATATAAACAACACGGCTGTTAGTGCTGCCAACATTAGGTCAAATTTAATCACTTAAATGGCTTCTTCACATTGAACTAAAGCAGAATAAAAAGCTTTCCTATGCTGACAGGTATTTTGTAATATTGTACTGGGTCACGTGCCTCCAGTTATAACTGAGTTGAGCCTCCTATCACTACAATGTCCATAGGGACTATTTTTACTTCCTGTGAAATTTCTGCTAGAGAATTAGCATCATTAGAGCTGGAACAGATCAGAGTTTCTGAAACAGTATCATGTGCATTTGGCATGGTGAGCAGTGTGCGTGCTCTGGCATGCACAGTTGTAAGTTATTCTTTTTTCTCCAAGTATTGCTTCTTTTAACTAAAATGTTTTGTCAGCATCTAGGCCATTTCGTTTATTTTTCTTCATGGTGCTTAACTGACCTCTGTCTTTCATTTATTTTCTTTGGCAGAAATGAGAATGTTTTCTCTTTTTGGTAAGTCTAGAAAAAGCTCAGTTCATTTTGACAGCAGTTTCGTGGCTGATTTTTGGGTAAGGTTTCTTCCATGCATTTAATACCAGAATCAGACCTTCATTACTGTATATAAACTAACAGGAAATGCTGCTTTTAAGCTTTGGAGTATAGATATACCCAGAATTGTAATTTAAGAAGACTTTCCCTAACATAGCAAAATGTTAACTATAGAATCTAGGTGTGTTCACTGTATAATTCAACTTTTCTGTATGTCTGAAAATTTTCACAAAATAACAGGAAAAAGAAGAAGAAGAAGATATATCCCACTTTGGAGAAATCTGCTTTTTGATTCATACCCATAATGGATTTGCTGTAATTAAGTGCCCAACATTGAAAAGCTAAAAGTGCTTTGTGCTACTCTGTGGCATAAGTCAATGAACATGGTAACTTATGTGACATCTTAATACATTATAGTGCTCTTGCTGTGGATAATAGTAAAGGGACTGATGCTGATGGATTGGAAATAGAAGTAAATGTGTCTGTTGATGATAGTGTGTCTTTTCATGGATGTTCAGTTTCCTTAAAATAATGTATTGAAGCAACAAGAAAGAATTTGTGTGAATACAAATTACTGTTGTTACTATCGCTATCATCTGAGCAAGAGGGAATTTTGTTGATTTGGAGAAGAAGCAAGCATGAGAAAACCCTCCAAATTGAAGGCAAAGTCAAGGAAGAATTCTTGGGGAAAAATGTAGTGTATGGGAAAAGGAGAAGTTTCTGGGAGTGATGAATGCTTAATTTGGGGAAAAGATTCTGTCAAGTTCTAGAAAAGAGTATATAACTCTTCCCCAAAATCTGAACTCTGTCCCAAAGCAAATTCATGCTCTAGTAAGCTAAAAGCCTCAGTTATTTTGTTGGTTCCATTGAGTTAGCTTTGCTCAGATACTCCGGACATCAAGAGGGAACTTGCAAAGGACTGTCTCCTGCAATCAAAGTATATTTTAAATTTACCCTTTTTATAAAACTGAGGCAGGAGCTAATGTTTTTATTATGTCTTTATGAGTATAGCTTGGTAATTTCTTAGCACTGCCGCATATTTTAAAATAAATTTATTTTCCATATATATCTCCATATATACACATACATATTTGTGTGTGTACACACATATGCACACATTTGAGAGATTTTTTTTACAGCCATAACGGAAGAGGATGTTTTTAAAAAGAAATAAAACTGACAATTCTTAGTAATTTAAAGTGATTGCAAATTTAGGAAGCAAAATTAGTTTTTTTCCTCCTGTGCTGGCCCATAAACCTCTGTGCCTCCCTGGAAGCACCACCCGGACAAGCCCTTGAAGTGTTTGGTTGTCCTTCCTTGTCTGTCGTATTTCTTAGTAACTGGGGTGGGTGAGGATGAAAATATCAAAAGCTAGAGAACCATAAATATCCAAGATGCTGTAGACAAGCCAAACCTAATATGGTGACATTTGGTGACACTGAAGGCCTGCTCTTGGTTCCTGTGTTCTCTGTGCTCCCTAAGCCCTTGCATGTGCCTCATGCCCACAGTAGTCTGTTCCACCGTTATTTGTGCTGGCTCTGAAGTCCCAGGAACGTTAAGATCAACAGATGTCCTCCTTGTATACAGGAAAGAACAGGCTATGGGTCCACCCATCTTAATGTCCTTGGAGAAAGTCACTTAATTTCAGTGAATCTTGCTTTCCTCCAACCTTGTGTGCCCATTGGGCTAAAGCTGGGTTTCTCAACTATTGACATTTTGGGTCATATCACTCTTTGTTGTAGGGGGCTGTCCTGTGCACTGTAGGATGTTGAGCAACGTCTCTGGCCTCTACCCACCAGATGCCAGTACTACATGCCCCCCACTCCTGTTATAACAACCAAAAATATCTTGAGACATTGTCAGATGTTCCCTGGGGGTCAAAATTACCCCCACTTGAGAACCACTGGGCTAAGATGGCTTCCAAATACTCACTAAAACTATTCATCTTTTTTGTGTGTTTGTGAGAAGGATTCTCTTTTTCTACAAGGGTGATTGTATAAGGATCAAGTGAGAGAATTCATAAAAGTGCTATGAAAAAGACTGGGCAGTTGTTCAGCCTATATTTGTATTTTTCATTTTAAAATGCAGTATAACATTTAGGCTTAGGATGGCCTGGGGATTCCCATCCTCCAGAACCACCCCCCATGCCTCCCCTTCATCAAGACCCTCATCTTTTGGGGGGTTTTTGACTTGGGGTTCATAGAGCCTTGAGGGATCTGAAGATAGTCTATTTCTCTATGATTGGTTTCCTCTGTAATTCTGTAACTTTTATTTTATGCATTTAAAAATATTCTGAGGAGGAGTCTATAAGCTTTACCACTCTGCGAAAGAGGTTCAAAGGTTAAGAATTAACCAAACTTCAACCTTCGCTGTCAGTGAATGTTCATGGAGTGTTGACAGTAGAGTGGTTTGTGCAGAAACTCAGGTGAACAAGACAGTCCTCTCTCTCGAGTCAGTGTATCCAGCTGCTAGCTGATTTCCTGATACTCCAAGGTAAAGTTGAGTGATCCTTGCTGAACTGGAGGAACTCCAGATGCCCTTTGTGGCTGTCTTTGCTTCCCTACTCCAGCTTGCTGGTGCCGGCCAGCTGTGCTTACTCACCAGGCCTGGATCCAGGGTCAGGCATTTAGGTCTTTCAGGGCTATCTAGGCAAACCTGAAGACTATGAGGGTGTCTCTGTAGGGCTTCTCCCTGGGGATGGTAGAGATGCCATAGCTCTCCTGTGAGTGCTTGAACATGTGCCTTTGAGGGTACATGTGGCTCAAGACCACAGTGAGACTTGTGGGCTCCTATAAAATGAGAGAAGTCTACAAGATAAAACTAGCTAGCTCTTAGGATCACCTCCTGGAGGCCAGACACTGGTATTCAGGTGTTTAGCTCTGGTTTTTACATCAGCTGTGTGAGGTAGGCATTTGAATTCAATTTTATAGGTAAGCAGACTCAGGTCACACTGCTAGGTGGTAAACTAAGGTTTCAAACCAAAGAATCCAAAGCCCATATTCTTTCCATTATTTTATGCTGCCTGCTGGTGTCATTCAAATGCTGAGCTTTAGAGACAGGGCAGAGAATATATTAGGGATTGTTCTAAGAAATCTGTGCTCTAATTACAAACTGCCCCCGCAGGAGTACCACAGAACATGCTGGGCCCTGGAAGGGCTTCCCTGGCCATAAGGGTCTGTATGTTCCTTCAGGCTCCTCACTTGGGTTAGAATGACAAGCATGGGGCAGCCTCCTACAGACCTACACCATTAGCCCCAGAACTGGCAGCCTCTATCCTGAACCTGTACTCCAACCATCTACGCTTCAGGTTGATGGAGAATGCAGTCTGGTGGGAGATGAGCAGCTGCTTCTCGAAGTGTCTGGAGAATGATTGTGGCTTGCATCCTCATGACCTCAGTGCTGATAACCCAAGATAAACCTGACCCCAATTTTTAAAAAGGCCAAATCTCTATAGCACTTGTTCGCTGAAGAGTTGCCCCTGTAAGACATATACACACACCTTCTCAAAATGTACCAGGTTTCAGCAGCCAGTCACCATGATGGCCTGATAAGAACTGGTACCAAGACATAAGTGACTGTTGGAACTAAAAGAAAGTACAGTTAAAGCAGGGGTCAGACATCTTGGTCAGCTCTTTCCAAGCTTTCAGAGTTGCTGATGAAGTACGAAAATACTCTGCTAGTTTGTGGGAGATTGAACCATTACTGCATACTTCCTATTGGTGAGTATCAAAAGGGATCCTCTTACATGCCCCAACAGCCTTTACTCTATAATCGGTCTTCACCACACTCCCCCCTCCTGAGCAGATTTTAACAATACAGTAACTCCTAAAATGGGGAATACACAAAATTAAGGGACAGAATAATTTTAGAGCTAGTTTCTCCCAAGAAGCTTTAAGCAATCAAATGTAATGCGTGTCTTTTTCATCTCTCATCCACACTCCCTCTGCCTCGCCTTTTGTTTTGGCAAATGTATCTTAAGGCAGATGCTGCATGTATGAAGTTGTTCTCGTTAAGTCAGGAAATAGAGAAACACGGTGTGGCGGGGAACATGAGATTGTTTAATACTACAGGAGTGAACGTGCTGGCTCAGCTCCCTGTGTGTGGGATGGGTGCTCACCCAGCAAAGCTGGTGCATGGCAACCACAGCGACCATGCTTCATCGGAGTTCAGAAGCACCTTCTGTAGAGGAAGAAAGGCCCATGTTCCTCGTACTCAGAGCGGTGGACCCACAGTGGTTGGAAGCCCTGAAGTGATGCCAGGATGGAGCCGCCCGTCCACACTGCAGTGTCTCTTTCAGGCAACACGTTTACCTGGGGGGTGTCATTTGGACACATGCTGCTCAGCTCCTTCTGCAGACGGTTAGGGAAACCTCTGAGCATAGTGCTCCCCCCGCAGAGCAGGATGTTCCCCATGAGATCCCGTTTGAGGGCAATGTCACACTTGTTAAGGCAGGACACTGTCTGGATGTGGAGGCCCAGCTGCATGGACTTGATCAGAGAAGGCTTGAAGAACATCTCTGAGCAGAGGAACCTTTCCTGGCACAGGCATATCTCCTGCCCATCTGGCAGAGTGTACTGGATCGTATGCTCGGTAGCTGGGACTTTCTTCTCTTCTATGGGGTCCAGGGCCACAAAGCAGCATTTCTTCTTGATGTCCTCCACAATGTCCATCTGATCCTCGGTGAAGCCTTTCCCCGAATTGTTCATCAGGCCCATCAAGTAGGCTGTGAGGTCAGAGCCCGCATAGTCTAGCCGTCCAGTGATGCTGGGCAAAGGATAACCCTCATAGATGGGGACTACATAGGACACACCGTGGCCAACCTCCACAACCAGGCCGGACGTCCTTCCATAGGAGTACATGGACAGGCGGGACTGGTAGGCGATGTGCATCGCAGGAGTGCTGAAGGTTTCAAACAGCATTTCAGCATACTTCTCTCTGTTGGTGTGCGGGCTCAGGGGTGGGTCTGAAACCAAGACTGCGTGCTGCTCTGGGGCGATCTTCATCTCTTGATGGAAGAGATATTCCCAGATATCCTGTACTGAATCCCAGTCCACGATGATGCCATGTCGCAGAGGATTAATTAGCTTGAGACGAACCTCTGGATTGATGAGCTCCTGTCCCACGTATGTCTCCTTGCGATTGTCCCCAGTTTTGGCAGTCTCCATGTATGGCTTGCCCACTGTCGATGAGATATTGTGGGTGGGCTTCGGCAGCCCAGCAAAGCCACATTTACAGTAGCCAGTGCCAAGGTCCACGACCACTGCTTTGGTCACCACTAGCTTGGGCTTCTCCTTGACCGCTGTTGATTTAGTTGGTTGTTCTGGCTCCGAATGGCAGCGGCGGACCCACACTGCTCGCTTTGCTGGACCATCTTTTAAGGAGGCAGTCTGGAGGACTTGTGTCTGCAGGGAGGCCTGTTCACCCACTCTCTTGGCGGGCCTGTCCCCTGTGATTCCTGCCTGTGGAGCCCAGACACTGTCGAGAGCCATCATGCTCTCAGAAACTTCCTCCATCCCACCGGCTTCAAGGCCTGAAAGGCTTAAATCGGAGGGCAACTTGAGAATTTCCCCAATGATGACATCACTGATTATGACATAATTCAGTGACCCGGGGCTTTCTAGATACTGGGAACCTTTGTCCTGTGTTAGGGTAGATTTGGGGTAGCGTTTTTGAGGTGACTTAACTTTTTCTGAATTTTGTAATAAACCTGATTTATCTAATCTGTTAATATTTATTGAGTGCTTGCTATGAGCAAGGCAGCTGGGAATACAAGGCAGCAGTGAAAAAAAATGACAAAAATCTGGCCTCGTAGGGTTTACATTCTAGTCAGTGGGGGTTGTGGAGAGAGAGAGAATAACCGAAATATATGTTAGAAGATGTTAAGGGCAAAGAAAAACAAGGCAGGGAACGGGTGTGGGGAGGGTGGCTGTGTTGATGTGCCTGGGTACGGCTCCCTGAGGTGGTGACATCTGAGTGAAGACCTGACGGAGGTGAGGGAGAGAGCCACATGTCTATTGGGAGCAGCAGGTGCAGATGACTGGAGGCGGACGTGTGACTGATGCGTTAGAGCAGGGGTCGGCAAACTATGGTCTGTGGCCTGTTTTTGTAAATAATTTTATTGGAACACAGCCACGCTCATTCGTTTACGTTGGCTGCTTTTGTTCTACAACCACAGAATTGAGTCATCGCAACAAAGACTGTATGGCCGGCAAAGCTGAAAATAAATACTGACTATCTGGCCCCTCACAGAAAAAGTTTGCCAACCCCCGAGTTACAGGATCCCAAGAAGATCAGTGTGGCTGGAGTGGAGAGAGCAATGGAGATGGGAGAAGTAAGGGGATGGGGAGGGTGAGCCACTCACGTCAGGCCTCATCGCCATTGCTAGGACTTTGACTCTGCGTGAGGTCAGAAAGCACTTGAGAATTTGGAGCAGAGAGTTGACACCATCTGATTTAGATTTAGCAGGACCAGTTGCTGCTATGGTGACTGTGCCAAGCACTTCTGTCTCACTTGTTCCTTAGGACAACCTACAGAAGAATTATTTTTGGACACGTTGCACACATACTCTTCCTTCATCCAGGTTATTGGGTTGGTAACAAAATTAGACAGAGTCCCACTGATGAGAACATTGAGGCTCTTAGGTGCATAGCTCACCCAAGGATATTCAGCCACCAGAGGCCAAGTTCTCCTGACTATGACTTCTTCGCAGGGGTGTGCTGTGGACACAACTTGATGAGGCCCGACATGTCTCTGAGGCTGCTTGGCCACCATTTCACGTGCCATCTCTGAAGGTGGGCACATTGGTGTTGACACCTGCCACTCTCAAGGCACTCAGGATCTGATCTTGTGTTATGTAGCCCTGTGTTCTTCATAAAAAGCAGTTACTACAATGGTGGGCTTTCTCCTTTAAGGAGGTTACTGGGGTTGCTCTTGGCTCCTTGTGGCGTGTGAGAGAAGAAAAGGACAGTGATGTCCAGTCTCATAAGCCTTGTGACTATCTGATGGCAGCAGCCAAGCTGTCATCTCAAAAACAAAATCTCAGGGGCTGGCCCAGTGGCGTAGTGATTAAGTTCACATGCTCTGCTTGGGGTTTGTGGATTCGGATCCCTGGTGCAAACCTACATACCACTCATCAAGCCATGCTGTGGTGGCGTCCCATATAGAAAATAGAGGAAGATTGGCACAGATGTTAGCTCAGGGCCAGTCTTCCTCACACACACACACACACACACACACACAACAACAACAACAACAACAACAAAACAAAATCTCAGCTTCTTGGTTCAATGGGTAAGGGATGAGATGGCATTGGATTTTGAAAGAATAAGAAATTACTTTTCTCTCTGGCTGGCTGCCTGAAAAAGTTTACTTGCCTCTGCTATTCAGGGGTTTGCATGGCAAACTTGGATTGTTTGACTTTATTCAAAAGAACTTATGTGATAACCAGAGATATATTTAATTTAGAGTCATCTATGTTCCTTCTTCTTAACCCCCCTCTTGAATTCTGAGAAATCTGCAGTTGCTTAGTATATTTTCACTGCCCTAACATCTTAAAATCCTTCTTTTCTTTCCTATCCACGTCACCTAATTTCTCAACTACTTCTGCTCTTAATTCTCCAGAAACCTTCCTCAGCCCCAGTTGTTTCTCTTCTCCCTTTTCTCCTGTTTCTTTACCACCAAAACCCTAATCTGTCATTCCTCTTTTTGAGGGGGGTGCAGTTTGGGATGGAGGTCCTTATGAGTACCTGATGAATTTGTCTGTTCTGATGACAGTCCATCTTTCTTTGCTTGGGAAGAGGTAAAGGATTCATCTTTCCCTCTCCCTCATTCCCCACATCTAATCTAATCATCTAATATAAATGCAGTGCTTGAGGCTAGAGAGGTCAACAGGAGCCAAGGAGAGAGGGCTTCGAATGCTAGAGTAAGAGCTTGGATTGAATTGAGGACAGTTGGAGAACCAACCAATTACATTAGAGTCTGCCTTCTAAACTTCTCTAGAACCTGGTCCTTGCTCTTTTCCACACTATCACAGCCCTCAAGTCTTACAAGAATTTCTTCAGTGGCCTCCTTTCAGGTCTCAGATTCTAGTCTTGCCCCTCTACATTATCGCCAAATGCAAATTATTCTAGAAGGCAAACCTGAGCACACTGCTTAAAAATTGGTTCCCCAGCTGTCCTCAACCCATGCTCTTACCCCTAGCATTTGAGGCCCTCCCTAATTGGCTCCCTGAGCTCTCCCGCCTCATCTGCTTTTCCAAACACCCTAACTACTACAGAAGTTCCCCACCATGCCCCCTCTGAGCCTTTGCTCAGGCTGTGTTCTCTGCTTGGGATGCCTTTCCCTCCTCTTAGCTACTCAACACATACCCACATCTCTTTCAATACTCAACTTAAGCTTCACCTCCTTTCTAGAGAACCTTCTGACTCCCTCCATCGAAAAAGCACTCCTTCCTTTATGCATCTCCATTTTTCAAATGGACTTCCACCTGCAGACTCCTTTGCATCCATTCTATCTTCCCACCTAGACTGGCACTGCTTATGGCCGGGGATTCTATCATCTGTCTCTGGCAGGCTGCACTGGGCTGGACTCACTAGAAACCCCAGTAAGTGTTGAATAAAGGGATGAAAGTACTGTGGGGGCCCTCACGCTCTTTAAGGAGACCTGGTGCATTGAAGTTGGATGAACTTGGGTTAAAGTACAAACACTGCAAGAGCTGTTGCTGGTGGGCAAGTCATCTGAATTCTGAGCCTTGATTTCCTGTTCTGCCTACCTCTCAGGATTCTGTGAAATAACATATATGAGGTGCCTGGCTTACTGTAGAGACTCAAATATTTATCACCCTCTTGGCCAAGAAGCAGAGGAGCAAAAGGTGTTCAGGCAGTGAACAGGGGATTAGGATCAGGGGTCTAAGGGGCAGGAGGAGAAACTTCTGAGACCCCAGTGTGCTTGAATGTCTCAAACTGTGCTGGCCACCTGCTCTGTCCTGGAGCAAAGTCCAGTTAGGTGATGGGGTGGGGGTGACAGATGAGGGGCCTGCCAAGGCCAAGCCCTCCCCTGGCCGTCAGAATGGACCAGCCCCCAGTGACATCACAATCCTGGGGGGGGTTGTCAAGGCACTGCTGGAGGTGGACCCTCTTGTTTCTCCCCCTGGAGCTCTAGGATGTGGATGTGAGAAAGGTGAGCAAGGCAGGCAGATGGCAACGGGAAACAGCTCTAACCCCATGCCCATGGGCACGGCTCAGGGTGACCCTGGAGAGGAGGGAACACTGCCAGGTGCTGATGCTGGTGTCGAGGACACAGGTTCAGCCACTCAGCTGAAGATGAAGCCCAAGAAGGTGCGCAAGATCAAGGCACTCATCTTTGACCTGGGCTCCCAGTACTGTAAGTGTGGCTATGCAGGAGAGCCGAGGCCCACCTACTTCATCTCCTCCACTGTGGGCAAGCGCTACTCCGAGGTCGCTGATGCTGGCGACACCCGCAAAGAGACCTACGTGGGTCACGAGCTGCTCAACGTGGAGGCGCCTCTGAAGCTGGTTAACCCACTAAAATATGGTGTCGTGATGGACTGGGACTGCGTCCAGAATATCTGGGAGTACGTCTTCCACACAGCCATGAAGATCCTCCCTGAGGAGCATGCTGTGCTGGTCTCTGACCCCCCGCTCAGCCCCAGCAGCAACAGGGAGAAGTATGCGGAGCTCCTCTTTGAAACCTTTGGCGTCCCTGCCATGCACGTGACGTCCCAGTCGCTGCTGTCCATCTATTCCTATGGCAAGACCTCAGGGCTGGTGGTGGAGAGCGGGCACGGCGTCTCGCATGTGGTGCCCATCTCAGAGGGCAACGTGCTGCCAGGCCTGACGAGCCGCGCTGACTATGCCGGGAGCGACCTCACCAACTACCTGCTGCAGCTGCTCAACGAGGCCGGCCACAAGTTCACGGACGACCACCTGCACATCATCGAGCACATCAAGAAGGAGTGCTGCTACTCGGCGCTCATGCCCGAGGAGGAGCTCCGCCTGGGTCTGGAGGAGCTGCATGTGGTCTACGAGCTCCCCGACGGCAAGCTCATCACCATCGGCCACGAGCGCTTCCAGTGCGCCGAGATGCTCTTCAAACCCACGTTGGTGGGCAGCAACCAGCCTGGCCTTCCTGCACTCACGGCCGCCTGCCTGGACCGCTGCCAGGAGGCGGGCTTCAGGGAGGAAATGGCGGCCAACGTGCTGCTGTGTGGTGGCTGCACCATGCTGGACGGCTTCCCCGAGCGCTTCCAGAGGGAGCTGAGCCTCCTCTGCCCCAGGGACAGCCCTGCAGTGGCTGCCGCTCCCGAGAGGAAGACCTCCGTGTGGACCGGCGGCTCCATTCTGGCCTCCCTGCAGGCCTTCCAGCAGCTCTGGGTCAGCAAGGAGGAGTTTCAGGAGCGGGGCAGCGCAGCCATCTACAGCAAGTGCTGAGCAGCGGTCCCCGATAGGCAAGGCCTTGGGGGCAGGCGGCCACATGCCACTCTATACACATTTACAGAGTTTCGCATAAAACTTTAACATGCAATGGCTCTTGTCTAGTCTGAATTTCTTGCTCTAATCTGATAGAAAGTGGTGGGGAGTTGGGCTTAGAAGTGTCAGCACCTTTTGCTCTGCTGGGTCAGGAGCAACAGGTGGGAGTAGGGGGTGGGGGTACTCACTGACTTCTTCCCCTCTGCCGCTCTCATGAGGGTGACATCATCTCAGAGCCCAGAGTGAGGCTTCCTATTCCATTAGCTCCTCAGGGTTCAAAACCCAATTCAACAGACAGTCACATTGCTTGCTCACCCAAGGACCAAGGGGGAAACAAAGGCTCAGATTAAGGAAAGAGCTTGGGTCACATAGTTAAGTGGTGGGTGGGAGACTTACAACCACATGTCTGACTGCAGTCTCCTCTTTCTGCCCCTGAAGGTTGCCTGCCCACAACTTTGTCACTGCCTGATTGCCTCAGGCTTCCTCACTAACCTCCCCTCATTGCCTGCCCCTTCAAAGGTGCAGCCCACATGTGTGCATCTAGCCATCAGTGGCCCTTCCCCTTTGAACTCTAGCCAAAATTGTAGCTGTTTTTGCAGTCACAAGGCAGGACCACTGAATCCAGAGGATGTTGGAGGAACCAGAGGCCCTTTAGGAATCATGTGGTTCTCTCCCTCCTGTAGGGATGGGGAAACTGAGGACCAGAGAGGGAGGGGGCCATGTCAGTGGTTGAGCCCAGGTCTCGTGATGCAGGTAATGATTATTTCCAGAAGGGCAAACATGTATGCTTTGGTTCAGGCTGCTATAACAAAATACCACATACTGAGTGGCTTAGAAACAACAGAAATAATTTATTTCTTACAGTTCTGGAGGCTGGAAGTACAAGACTGGTGCCAGCACGGCCAGGTTCTCGTGAAGGCCCTCTTCTGGGTTGCGGACTGCTGACATCTCACTGTGTCCTCACATGGTGGAAAGGATAAGGGATACCTCTGGGGCCTCTTTTATAAAGGCACTAATCCCATTCATGAGGACATTGCCTTCATGACCTAATCACCTCCCAAAGCCTCAAATAATACCATTACCTTGGGCATTAGGTTTTCAACATATGAATTTGGGGGGCTAGGGAGGACAAATATTCTGTAACAATGATTCTTAATGGTTAGTAACCGTTAAGCACTTAGCAAGTATTTACTGTGGGTGAGGCCCAGAGCTGGAGACTTAGAAATGACTAGAATGTGGCCCTTCCCTCAGAATCACACACAGCTAGTGGGAGATTCAGTGGACAGCCACACTGGTAAGGAGATGAGGCTCAGTGTTCCTGGGGGTGGGAAGGTGGAGGTGTATTGGAAAGCTGTAAATGGAGAAGTGCTAGGCATGGTGGCCACTTAGTGGCTTTGGGGCTGAAGGAGAAGCTGTTGAGTCTTGTGAGAGTTCAGTTGGTGAATGACTGTCTACCTGGAAGAGGGTGGTCCCTGCCTCTTTTCCCAGCTCACCTTCTGGTGGAGCCCATGACCAGGTGTCTGTGGGATCAGACATTGGTGAGCTGTGTGATCTGATTAGCTATCAAATGTCCCTGAGCCACCTCTTCCCTTAGACAAAGAGTCCTGACTTGGGGCATTCTGTGAGGCTGACTCTGTCCTGGGTCCTGTGCTGCGGGCTGCAGCCTTGGGAAAGAACCAGACATGGTCCTTATTGCCTAAAGCCTTGCTGTCTCGTCTTTCCCATTGCCCAGAATTGGGCTCCTAACCAGGAGTTTGAATCCTTCTGGAGCTGGCAGAGCCTTGGTGCTGTGCAGTAACTTGGGCTCTTTCCTGTAGAGATGTGTTTCAGACTGGAGGCCTGTAAGCTGACGGTGCCAGGAGACATGTTTTGTTCGGCCAGCACAGTGTATAAATTTTTCTCTCAAATGCAAATTCTTTCAGTGGGGCCTACATTCTTCTTGTTGCCAGTCTCTACCACCCTGATGTCTTCATACATGCCTGCTGCTTCAACATAACTTTTGCTTAATTAGCCAACATTTGTTTCTATTGCTTGCAACCCAAGAACCTTTGATTAATACTATTCCTAAAAACCTGATGAGACACAGAGAGAAATAGAGGCTCATAGAGGGGAAAGTGATGTGCCCCAAATCACACAGGCAGTAAGCTGGTGGTGCGTGTGAACCCTCTTCCACATGCTGGTCTTGAAGATCTCCAACACCCATGTCTGTGTCTACCCCGCTCCCCCATCTCCTCTTCCTCACTCCCCACCTCCTCAGCAACTTCTTTCTCCACAGTCATGGCTTCAGGGCCCTCATTGCTTGGTCATCTCTGAAAGCATCCCTGTGTGGCAGAGGCTGTAAAAACACTAATCACTTAATCCTGGACATGAACTTATTTGAGCCAACTACAGGTGCAAGAGGAGATTTAAGATTGGCAGAAAAACACGGGTGAGTAACTTTTAGCTTAAGATGACTGACTGCCCGTGTGTGTTCATCTCCTCTCCCTCCTAAGACTGCATTCAAGTGATGTTAGAGGAATATAGACGTATAATTCCACTGCAAATGAGGAGGATGGTGGGGGCATTGCAGGAGGCTAGAGATTTCTCCCTGATTCTGGAAGAAGCAAAATGGATGCAGGGCGGGAAGGCTGCAGCCTAAAGTGTGCAGGGTGCTCCCAGCAGGGGAGGGAGACTTCATATCCTGCAGAATGAGATGAGGTTTGGGACTTGGGAATGCCAAGTAGAGACGGATATAGGAGTGAAGTGTGTGAGGTAAAATGGGATAGGGGAGGGGATGGTAACTGATGGTCTCTACCTGAGAGCACAGCCACCCCCTCCCCACTCCCCACAAGAAGAGTGGTGAGCACAATGGCCAGCCTCTAAGTGTATATTTCTCAGGCAAAAAATGGAAGAATTGTCTCTATGAAAGTGGTGCCAGTACAGGGAAGAGGAGAGGTGTGTGTGAAGAGCACGTCATGAATCCTGCCTGCATCCCCGTGTTCCTTCCCCAGACCACGAGTCCCACTCACATCTAGCTAATATTCCCCAGGTGGAACCTATAGTTGGTGCCACTATTTCTCCCTCATCCCTTCCCCACACCTCCCAGGGCTGACTCCCTGATCCAGCTCCAATGGTGCAGCATGTGACTGACCTAGGATAAGCCAATCAGAGTAGTCCATCTCCCTGGCCACCATGATTGGCTGGGGATGAGCATGGGCCCTCAGTCTGGCCCTGTGGAGTGAGTTACAGACCTTTTGCTTGAAAAGTTGACATGCGATTGGGGTGTGTGGCCTGGAAGTGGCATGGCAACATTTGTTACCAGGAAGAAAGCTAGCTTGTAGCTGACCCGCCAAGCACTGCAGAACTCAGATAGCTGGTGCCCTGATGACAAAGTGACCTCCGATGAAAGCACGCCTAGAGCACCCTCTACCCTCAGACCTTTTGTTTCCGTGAGCTGAGGCATTCACCCTCATCAGGTAGAGTGTGTGTGTCTGCCACTTGCAACTGAGAGCACTGTAACTTCTGTTTCCTTCTCAACAGTGGTGTTCCTCAGGAGCAAGTCTGCATAGAGGAAGGGCCTCTTATAAGTGAAATATTAAGACCAACACTTCATTTATTTCCCAACAAAAAAGATAGTACACATGAAGAATTTTTATCAAGATATTAGAGAATGTCAGGTACACTAATGCTGAAGTGCAGAAACCTAAGCGTGTCTATTGGCCATTGTCCTATATTCTCTTGTTTAGATATTTGTCCCCGAGGTTGGACTCCAAGCTCCTTAAGGAGCAGGAACTTCAACTTTCTCGTCTTGGTTTTCTCCGCGCCCAGTGCAGAGCATAGCACAGGGTGGGGGCTTAGTACAGGCCAACTGCGATGACTTACTCCCAGTCTGTGAGGTCGAAGTTACAGTATTTCCCCCATTGTCCAGATGAGGACACCGAGGCTTGGAGAGGTTAAGAATCTTGTCCAAGTTCACCCGCCTGGTACATCACTCTTGTGCTAAATCGAAGTTTGTGATTCCAAAGTGCCTTTTTGCCCTTGTCTCCTACCTTTCTGTAAATTATCAGTGACTTTTCCAAGAAAAAAATAGATATATAAAAAATTTCTTTCAAGTAATGAACAACTATGATGTAATTTCATAATCATCCCAAGGTATAAAAGTTAAGAATGCCAGTCTTTCAGCAAAGGAGAGACTTAGCTTGCCTGAGATTGCCAGAGACATCAATAAGCAAGTATCAGAGTGACACCAATATGGTGAAGTCCTGCTATTTAGACACTGCAAGAGGCCTGTTATCCTCACTGCCTGTCTGGGCTGCCTGCCCCCAAGTGTTTATTACCAAGTTTCTCTGAGAGTTATCTGCAGAAGGTGGGTTTAAGCAGTTAACTTTATTACAATACCAACTATTAATGATGTTCTATTTGATGTAAGGGGTTTTTGTTTTTTGATCCTACATTTTCTTGTGGTGGTTCTTAACCAGCGGGAAGAGGAAGCGTGGGTACTGGATATGCTGGAGGTAGCTCTTAATGCTTGTGAGAGCCCCTTGTTAACTATTCAGGAATTTTGCAGGCCAGTTGTTAAACTGTGTTGGTAGCTTGAAAGTGGCGGTGGTGGGAATATTTACCCCCACAGAAACCAGCAAGTGTTACAAATCAGGGTACCCCCACCACCCCCTGCCCCAGCTCATTGAAAGAGAGGAGCAGGAGAGTGTGAGATTAAAGGTGGGCGGCAGAATCATCTAGGGAGCTAGTTCTATATAAACAAAACAAAACCAGTGTGGACCTTCCCCCAGACTCTGAATCAGTAGATCTGGGGATGTACCTATGAGTCTGCAATAGACACTCCTAGTAAAGAAGCTACTCAAAAGAGTGCATGACACATACTAAGCGCTATGTAAGTGTTTAAAAGTAAACCAGAAGCTGTGGCATAGTGTGGGACAAGCCAAAGGTGCTGGGTGACTAAGATGCTGCCCCTTCAGGTCAGAACGTCTTTCACCACCTGTCCAAGCTCTACTCACCCTTCCAGGCGCAGCCCAAATGACCACTCCTCTGGAAGGCATTCCCTGATACGCCCAGGCAGGG